AGAACGCCAAAACACGTGTTATTCCGCCCGATATCTACAAATGCATGCTAATATATGTGCCGCGAGAAATTACTGTCAATGCCTTGCCCCAAAGACTCACCCACGAAACTATCGAGGAAGCGCCTCGACGTCCAGCATGTGACCCATCTTCTCGATCTGCAAATCGCCGTTAGCGTTGATACCAGTCACAAGAAGGAAAGTACTCACCTTCGTCTTCAAATACCCCTCCACCTCAGGCGCCCTAAACCCGCCCTTGCCCTTCCACGAAAGCGGCACCATAGCCACCCTCTCCTTGACTACAATTTCCCGATTCGGGCCCTCCACCGCCCGAATCTTGTCCGGATTGTTCGTCAACAACCGAATATCCCTCTGTCCCAAATCTATCAACATTGCCGTAGCCAACCCGTAGCTCCGCGCATCCGCCGGATGCCGCAGCATCAAGTTAGCCTCCACCGTATCATTCCCCAAATCCTGCAAGTTGTACGCCTTCAGCTTCTCCCCCAGCCCAATGCCCCGTCCCTCCTGCCGCAGGTAGATGATGATCCCTCCCGCCTCGGCACTGCTCGGCAGACTCATCAACCGCGCCGCCTCGTCCAGCTGCTCTCCGCAGTCGCATCGTGCCGACCACACAGTCTCCCCCGTGTAGCACTCGCTGTGTATCCTCACCAGCGGCGGCACCTTATTCCCATCCTGCCCATGTTCCTCCATATGTTGCGTCCCATCGATCCCACTGTGCACCCTCCCCGGGTAAAGTCTCCCCGTGTACGCCCCCCGCTTAAGCCTCTCTAGCTCCGTATCACCCGGCTGCCACGTGTCTAAACTCTTGCTGCGGATGTTGTCGCCAAAGACAATTGCCAGGTGCTCCTTCTTGTCGATGTTGTTTTCGTACAAATGCAGAAACATTTCGGCGCCCGTGGTGGTGGGTATTCGCGCGCGCACGCTGCATCGTACCTCGGGGAGGGCTTCGAGAAGGCGGGGGTGTTTGGAGCCGCAGCCGCCACCGGTGGGGAGGGAGCTGTCGACGGGGATGGAGCGCGGTTCGGAGAGGAGCGCGTTGCTGGGTGTGGCGGTGCCTGGGGTGGACGGGGGTGTGAAGGCGGGGGAGAGGAGGGAGGGAGGTGGAGGGTTTGTCGGGATTGCTGAGGAGGGTCGGGAGGGGGTCGAGGAAGAGGGCGACGGGTTGTCGTTGGCTGTATTGGAGGTTGTGGTTGTGGCGGGAGGAATGGAGAGGGAGAGGTTGTCGTTGTTGAGGTCGGCGTCAGCGCCGTCGGGCGAGGGGTCCGCGTTGGCGGGCGGGGAGTAGAAAGAGGGCAATTGGCTGTCGCTGGCGGCGGCACCCTGCCATTGTTCGGGGGTAAAGCCGGGCATGTTGTGCTGGAGGCTGTAGTCGGTGTCGCTGGCGATAGGAACGGGGATGGAAGAGCGAGGTGCTGTTCTTCCCCCAGAGATCACTCTCGGCCTGGAAATTTAGTGTGCCACGCGATGCTGGAATTGCGGGGCAGGGGCAAGTGGGATGCGCCAAAGTTCAATGCGAAAATGCCGAGCCGGAGGAATAGTTTGCGAGGGCGCGCCTCTTGGAACTTTTGTCGGTACCCTTCAATATATTTTCGGCCTCCACTGGAAGAAGCTTCGGACATGTTTTGATGGGAATTCGGACGAGGGATCTCGGTTTGCATGGCTTGATCATCAGCACCTCGGCAGACGCGAGGCATTAGTCATGGTCGCCCGCGCGGCGACAGGCCGGAGGGGGTTCGATGCGACGAAGGGGCCCACAGATGACAGATGACGCTCGCCGCGGGGTTTCTTGCTGACCTTCTCTGCCGAGGGAGTCTGCGGGGTTGCCGGACTATGGCCGGAGATCTGGCTGTAGCACAGACCACCCGATTCCATTTTCAGCGCGCTTTGCTTTTTCCACAGCCAAATTCCAACCCACGAGTCCCTGGCGGCTGGCCGAGGGCTTCCGGCGCGCCTCACGGCGCGTGACGGCGACAAAGAATTGAATCTGCTGTGATCCGGCTGCTTAGGTAGGTGCGACGTCACAGCGCATATGTCAACCCAAAACCACAGTTCCTTTTCCTGTGCAACCTTTTTTCCTTTGTGCATCCGAACCTTGCCGTCTCGCTCATTTCGCGCATGTGGACAGATGACAACGTCTTCTCGATGTCGGCCCGTGGTACCGACTGGGCAAAGTTGTATCTTTCTACGATCCGCCATCCGTCTCTTCCTGGAGACCTTGACCCAAAAAATCACCGACGCCGAGACTTTCGATGGTACTGGAGCTCTAAGCAAGGTTTGGCTACATCTGGACAGAACCACTGCCGAGAAGAAAACCAACCTTGGAGACAAAGCCTTTGTGTGGCCGATCAATGTTCTATTGGTCACTTATTTTATGCAGCAGTATCACAAGCATCCGCAACTCTGTTTGCGAGGGGAAGTCTCTTTCACTGCTGAGACACCCTAACGGCCCTACACAACTACAGGACGGGCCTATGCTCATTGAGACGATCTAGACAACCCCAAACGGGGGAGTTAGCAATTGGCGACGCTCCGGTCACTTAAGACTAGTCAACAATGGGGTGGAACTTACCGGACAGCAGTTGTCATCAGTCAGTGGCTGGTGCACCGAACACTTGAGATCCACGTTCCAGTCCCAGCCGCTAAAGGTGGTAGAAGTTAGAACCGATTAACGACGGGAACCTGGCCGGTGAGACATACCTATACCCGAGACTTCTTTTCCGAACGTTCGGCACTCGTACTTGTGCTTGGTGTCCTTCTTGATGGCGTGCTTGGGTTTGCAGTTTTTGTCGGTGTATGGGCAGGGACGACAGTTCGCATCCCCGGTGACCCGGCATGTCCTAACGGCGAAGACAACTCCGACGGCGGCAAGTGCCATGAGGAGACGGGTGGCTGAAACCATGCTGTCTGCTGGTAGTATCTGATTTGGAGACTTTGGGCACAAGAGCAGTTTGAAGGTATGCAATGAAGAATAGGATTCAAGCAACAACACCAGAGAAATAGACGGTTTATATGCTCCGAGCAAGGCTCTAGGGGTGTCTTTCCTCGTCTCTGGGCATAGATTGCTCACTCCCTATACGGGCCTAGAAGGCTTGGCGCCGTCTGTGGTTTGGAATGGGTTGAGATGAGATGAACTCTTTACACAGCGGTTACCACAGCTTTGCGAATTCCAACAGGCCAGAATAATCTGCCGATGGTAGTCTACCGACTCTCATATAGCTCGTTGGTCGGTGTTGGGACACAAACCACCCGGCTTCAGACCGAAAAGGGGCTGCGAAGCTCAACTGCGCATCATAGGGCGGGAAGATGCCGATCATCGGATGAGAGGAGTCTAGCCAACGCCGACACCCTCACTGCTGTGTAACCACAAGTTTTATCATACCGTGAGGTTAAAGGGTGCGTGGCATAACGTGCGGCTGAGAAGGCTTAATATCTGGGCAAATATGGCTGGAGAAGAAGGCGTTACAGAGATCACGAAATTCCCCAGTACATGTTGGTCACATCCGTCGATGCCTTCAGGGAGACAGGAATAGCCCTGATGTTACATCGCGAACATAAGGGTTGGATCGGGCCATGTGCACCCAACATGAAGTGAGGACCGGAGTTGAATACAGGAGGCTTTGAAACGGCTAATATAGACCTTTAATTCTGTCCTCTACGCTGCTGATGAACTATTGAACGCTGATACTACACATACAAAAAGCCTATTCATATTCTACCAAACGCCTCGGAAATGTTCCGAACCATGGTCCTCGAGAAGACACGGGCCCATTGAAGCGCGGACTGAGCTATGCCCCGGTCATGGAGAAACCACGAAAACGCGGTCTCCTTGACCGTGATACGTGCAATCGAATGCCCCATTACAAGCATTAGCAGGTCGTTTTGAGAAGGCGGAAGGGGGTTTGAAGACGTACAGCAAAGGGGGCACGCGTCTCTGAAGCAGGGGTTGCAGTTGGCCCGGTTGTTCCAGTCAAGATCAAACAAGGCGTCGACTGGCGAATGCGCAGTCCCCATGCATGCCACTGCCTGCCCGTTGCAGATCCAGCATTGCCCTCGGTCGACTCTCCAGATGACGTCCTGGACGGTGACATTGTAGTAGAGCGGGGCATACCGTGCTTGCCGCGGCGGACCGAGTGCGGGAGTCCCAGGTTTGGTGCAGCGAAGCCAGACATGAAATACGTTTTCCGGGCTGGAGCAAACGATGAGGGGATGAATTTGGGCGCATGACTCTCCAGTGATGACAGAGTTAGCAGTCTTGAAGTCGGGGCTAGGGAGCTGCGAAAGCACCCTGTCGCTCACTTGGTTGATGGCCCAGGCCGTACCAGGAGTGGCGTGCTTGAAGAATTGCTCCAACGTCTTCATGCTGGCGATGTTCATCAGGTCACCGGCAAGGAGCTGATTTGGCTCCAGATAGAACTTGCGTCGATTCCAGGCCCTGGTTCTCTGAGAAGCCGGCGAGTCGATACCTTGACGAGGATGTGTGGTGCGCTTGGCCGACGGGCATGAGCTGCCATCTCTTCGACAATCATCTCCCAAATCTCGGTGGGAAAGCGGATTCCGCCGCGAGGACCTCGGGGTGTGATTTCAGCCCCCTCGTTGATGAGCTCATCGAGATATCTTGCCGTGGTAAACTCGACGTTGAGCAGTCAAAGCTCGTTTTTGAGGTCGGGTGCAGTTGCGGCGTGACGGAACACCCTTGTTCGCATCGTCGGCGGGAGGAATACGTTGGAAGTGCTCAACGCCTGGCGTTGGTGATGATGTTGAGATGCTTGCAGAGTTGGTTGACGAGAGCTGCGGTCCATGTGAAAAAAGGCAGTGAAGGTTCTCGCTAGGTGGTTCGGCAGGCGCACCTTGGGCAAAGATGGTGGGAATTGTAGTCAAGCGCCCCCTGACCTCCCCCCCAACGTACCCCTTTGTCGCGTGGTATCGAAGCATGGGCAAGAGCAACCTAAGGAGATTCTTTCCCTCGCAGCAAACATTGAATTGGCTGGATAGCTCAATGGTAGGGCATCACTTTCCGGTGCTGAAGCTTCTGGGTTCGAGTCCCAGTTCGGTCGAACGGTTCCTTTTCGCAAGGCACCCCCTCTATCAAGATGTTTTGTTCACTGTGGGTCTGCCCCTTTTTTGTCCGCTGCTAGGGCTACCCTTCCGCTGGTGCCGCCGCCGTAGGCGCACTCACCAAACTTCCGTTCACCAACGTCTCCATCCTCCCCCTTCCCACACCTTAATCAACGACAACGGATGCGCCGTAATATACGCATTCCCCCTCCCATCCAAATCAAAAGCATTCCAAAGGTGCGCCCCATCCTCAAATCCCGGAAGCACAGCAATCACGTCCACCTTCGCGTCGTTCCCACCGATGGGAATACCATCCTCGTCGATACGTACCCGGGAGAAAGCTCCCAGATGGGAGTTGGTGAAGTAGAGGTATTCACCCTTGATACTAACGTCGTTGACGCCGATTAGATATCCATTGGTGGCGTCTCCGAAGCCCAAGACGAGGCTTTCGAACGCGGTTGCGATGGAGTGGGAAAGGGTGTCGGTGCGGAGGATCTCCCCCGAGTATGAATCCGCGGCTCGGATGACGCGTGGTTTCTTGGGGGGGTGGTAATTCCGTTGACCAATTCGTACTTTGGGATGGGGGTGGAGTCCTTTAGGATTTTGGGCTTGTCGGCGGTTAAGGGTGAGATGATGTGGATTTGGTAGCTCGTACAGATGCTGTTGGAGGAATACGCATCAACCGCCAATCAGGGCTGGCGATAGCCTCCAGCTCGGACTCTTCTGTCACGTTAGGGCTGCGTACCCGTATTAGTCATTGAAACTCGCCCGCAAAGGGCAACGACCCGAGCGATCCCATCCCCTGAGTCATTATAAATTCAACCTCCTGACAAACGACCGTCCATCGCATCACAGCAGGGTCTAATGACGAGGTCGGTCCTTTGCAGCAACAATAGCACTGCCAGCAAACAATATATGACTACGAACGTTTCCCTTGAATCGTAAGGCTCAGGACATGTGGAGCCCATCTGACTCCTTGTCGGCTTCATACCGGCCGATGCCACAATGCATTGTTTCTTCCACATCCAAGACCAAAGTATCTGTACATTTTGATACATCCATTGTTTCTATGCCAACCCGAACCCCAATCCAAACCGGGACTAATCCATCTATCTCTTTTCTATCATCACTTTATGTTTCTTTGCTCTCATAACGCTTCCCCTGGCCTGTACCCATCACTGCTCCCGCTCCCGCTCCCTTTCCCACCCCTCCCCTCGAATTTCTCCTGCTGAAAGACCAGCCCGACTTCTGAGTCCCCCCTTTTCCTCCGGTTCTCCTTCATCTCAAACTCCATCAACTGCCTGTCCATCTCCCGGTTCATCTCCTCCACCGTCACGCTGACGTCCTTCCGTACTCGTACTCCTTGCTCTGCTGATGAGATACCATCGCCGCCTGTGCTGGAAAATAGCTTGCTTGCCCCCCCGCGACTTCGGGAGACGCCGGTGTGCCGGCTGATGTAGCTGGTGAGAAGTCCGGGTGCGAGCTTCTTGAAAAGTGGGCGCATAGGCGGGATGGAGATGCAGATGATACCGAGGGAGCACTCGATGATGGTCATGTTGAGTGGGGAGGCGAGATAGTCTGTCCATTGTTAGAGGTCAGGGGTCGGAAGAGGGTAAGCATAGTAAGCTTACAGGTTACATCGAGGCCTTGAACCTGGTGGAGGAAGTAGATGCGGACGACGCTGGCGGCGAGGGCACTGCGGGGGTTAGTGAGGCCATACATTGATCAAAAGAGGGAGGAGAGCTCACATGAAGCCGACGCCAAAGAGAACGCAGATCACCAGGCGCTGGCGCAGCGGTAGATTCAAGGACCAGAAGAAGGGGAGAGGCGCCACAACGAGTACGGTGTCCGCGAGGGTGCTGATGGCGGCGTTGGCGTACAGGAAGTTGACAAAGGGGATGCACTTTGACCCCGGGATGGTGAAGTCCCAGGCGGCGTGGACCGGAGTGCACTGGAAGATGGTGACGAAAATGGCGCTGATGCCGATGCCGGTGCAGACGACACCCGTCACGTAGAGGATTTTGCGGAGTGCATCGTGGGGAAAGATGCGTAGGTACGACGTGATGATGGATAGCTTGGTGAAGGCCATGCCGGCGGCGTAGAAGACGTGGGCGACGTACATGAGCTGCACGCATTTCTTGACGGAAAAGATGATGTTTTCGTAGGGAAACGGAATGTTCCATACGTGCTTGCCCAGTCCGTAGTTGGTGGCCACGAGCGACGTTGCTGAGGACACGAGGATGAAGAGGGAGGCGAAGATGGCGAGCACATCATCGATGAAGAATTGGTGCGTGATCCAGGCGCGAGTGTACAGCCGCAACATCATCACCACGCTCACCAGCACGATGAAGGTGATGTTGACGTTCCATACCATCGACGTCAGGCTCGACTTGTCGGTGATGTCGTAGTTCTGGAGGAGCTCGTCAACGCTGGGGATGACATCGGCAATGTCTCGGGGGTTGTGCCCCAACATGGCTCATTGCCCAATCTAGTCTCTCGACTCTCGCAGCTGAGTCGGCTTTCGAGGAAGGAGCGGCCGGTCAATGTTGTGTAGTGGTGAGCTGGAGAGCGTTGGATGGGGCATCCCTCTCCCCAGGATCTACAACGGAGCAAGGTGCGGGTGCTGCAACAGAAAAGGAAAAGCAATCGAAAGCCAACATGGAGCCAAGGTAACCGTCGGCGCCTGCGGGGCCGATGAGCCGTGTTCGTTTCGCCCGCCATCACGCTTTGACTGCTTACAGGAACTTGGGAGGCATTGACGAACCCGTGTGGCGTTTTTCGGTCCCCTACGATCGAACTTCTGGGGAGGCTCCCTCGATGGCGCTTGGCGCAGACTGCAAGGGCCTGCCACTGGCTCGCTGTGCCGCTCAGTTGTCGTCTGCGTTGGGCGCCACCCCAGCGGAACGGCGGCACAGCCTAGAGAGATTTTACTGGGGAGTCCTTTTCTCTCCATGCTGCAGACGGCTGCGTCTATCGACTACGCGGTGTGGTTGTGCCGCGCTGGGATTGGACACCATCGCCAACGCGGTCCGGGCCCAGTTCAGCCCACTGTTCGGTACCAGGGTGTGATTCCCGCGTCCCCCCCTCCAAGGCCGAGATCTTTTGGTGCCATCCCTGCGATCTTTTTTTTTTCTCTCTCTTTTGACCCCTGATGAGGCGCAACGCTCGGCGGCGTCCCTATCTCTTCCTCACCTTCTCTGCAGATTCGACACGGATTCACCCCACCGACGCTGCAGCTTGCAGTCTGCAGTGAACGGACGTTGCATTTCAGCTCTGCTCGACAGTTGTGTCAGAAATTACCGAAAGTCGGGTTGGTCAGCCGCTGTCACATCAGCACAACTTACGGTCGCATTGCACACGCGATGTCCGCAGACGTGCTGCACTGCAACAGAAGCAACGAAAAAGCCGCGCGACCATGACCAGCACCCGCTTGTTGAAACACTCGTCCCCCTCGTGCGAATCCGCGGAATCGAGATCCTGCTGTCACCCCGAACAAGAATAGCAACTTTATTACAGGGTCCTTCCCGACAGACCGGAATCGGTGAGGGGCAACCGTAACAGCAGACAGCGCTCAGACGCTGATGTGTGCGAACCACTCCGGAATTTTCCAACCATCATCCCTGGCCGCTCACGCGCTGCGCCTGCATTTTGCTTTGGTTCAAACACTGGTCTTGCTCCCCCACTCCACGTGAGTTTCATGCATTGATCTCAGGGGGTTGTCCAACGTCTGGATGCAAAGCCAACGTGGTGACAAGCTTTGGTGCCTGGAATGGCGGTGGGCTTTGCGCTCGGATTTGAGACGAGATGGCGCGGAGGAGCCGGCTGAAAAATCCCTCTGGGCTGCCCACCCTGCATGCGAAGCCTGGCGCCACCATCACCGTGATGAGTGGGGTGACCCTCAGAATCAGGCTTTTGAGGTGTTTCTTGAGATTGCGATGCTTTTCGGGGGTCGCGGGAGGCTCTCACCGGGCGGGTGAGGCTGCGATTCGAGTGGGGGTAGCGCGGGCACGTTGGTGCCCGTCTTCTACTGACGTGATGATCCTCGCCGGAAGTTTCTCAACAAGATGACTCGGGATATTGGCCCAGTTGGTAGAGCGTTGGTCTCACAATATGGTCTGGTTAGACATCAGAGTAATCCAAAGCTCGTGAGTTCGAGCCTCACATGTCCCATCTAGATGCTGGAGACGCCCATTTAGCATCTCCACACTCTTTTTGCAGCCGTCGGCTTCAGGGAAGCGTGTTAGGTTGCGACGGCGATGAAGATATGTAGCTCCGGAGGCACAGACGCGCGACCTGGGTTGCAGTCGGAAGGACGTACGGTTAGTTTCCAAAGCGATCTTGGTATATGTTACATCGTCCAGTCTTGGTTGGGGATCATTCGATATTTACGACAAACAGGGCAATTTCAGGTGGGAACAGCCTAAACCACCGACATGGCGTCCCGAAATGGCTGCGTGTGGCTGACGATTGCAACCATCGCCTTGTGTTGGCAATTTCGCGTGGATGAGCTGCCGGACACGTTATTCCGGGTCTTACGCAAGACAGAACTTCTGCATTGCCGTTGTCTGACTCCCAAACGAGCCTGCGTCGGCCTTCAAGGACAGTTCTACCAAAGCCTCGCCGTGCATGACTCCATGGACATACGCGTGGCCAACAATGTCGTGCAGTGCTTCTCACTCGGTCCCTGTTGCTGGTGGTCTCGATCTGAGCACCAGCGGCGTCTTGGATCCCAGGACAATGCAAATATCATCACCCATCCGCATTTCAGGCGGGCCAGATCCAAGCTGGCCGTTGGCTGCGATGAAGGGGCGGCGGTTGAGCCCGTTTCGCAGAAACGCTTCGTAATATTCCTTTGCCTCGCCATTTGGTACCCTTCTCTCGTCGTCGCGCACGCGATGCGCCGTTTCGGTAATGTCGACCAGGTGTTCGCGGTTCTCTCGGAGCGTCTTGAGATACCCACCATAGACGGGCGGCGCGGATATCCATTTTTAGGATCGGC